GCTTTGAAAGCACATTTCAGTGCCCTCGTGTGGCACTGTGTGGTAATTCCATTTAAACGTTAAAGAACGCAGTACTATTACTTTGAACCGTTTGTTCACAGCTTAACAACACTCACAATAATAACTAATGTGTTGAGTGTTTACTATGGCCAGGCACTGTGCTGGGCACTTCCCAAACGATATTTCATTTAACCCACAACAACCCTACAAGGAAGGCATTATTATTTCCATTTTACAGGTGAGGAGACTGCGACACAGAGAGATGAAGAGATTTGCCCAAAGACACCAAACTTAGAGACCAGTGACTGAGGCCAGACTCAGACTCAGGTCTCTTGAACCACGAGGCCACACACTGGTCGTTAACCACAGTTTTTCAGAGACCTCTCCCCCTTGGTGTTGGCTTCAGGGATCCCACAGGAGACCCTGAGGGGAAAAGCCACCTGGGAACCTGGGAATGAAGGCAATGCACTTGGCAAATACTGGAAACGACACACTTATTTGTGTGACTCTTGGTTTCTTGGGACAGCGAACCTTCGGACGGTGTTTCCTCCATGCCAGGCCCTGTGGTAAGCAATTTACACATCTGTACTCATTCAGTCCTCCCAACAACGCTGCGGGGTAGGCACTGTCGTTATCCACAGTACACAGAGGAGGAAACTGAGGCACAGAGAGGCGAAGCAACTTGCCCAAGGCCACACAGTTGGTGGGTGGTGGGCTGAGATTTGAAGCCAAGCAGTCCAGCTGCGGAGCCCCTGTTCCTAGCCTCTAGGAGCGTAAAGAGGGAGACAGGCTAAGTTTTTTTTTGGGGGGGGATGGTAATTAAAACCTTCAAAAGCCTACAGGCATCTGGACAAAACTGGAAAAAGCCTACAACAGTCACGCAAATTTACATGAACCAGGGGAAAAAAATCTGCCTGGAGTAAAATAAATCAGAGGCTCTGGTATTTGTTGAGCGCCAGTGCCTGGTATGTAGTGTTATATAAATGCTTGTTCACTTAATGACAAATGAAAATCAGGCTGGCTGGGGAGAACGTAGAACAACAGCCCTGCAAGTGCGCTCTGCAGAACCTAAAGGCCATTTTCGGGTTCTGTGTCTTTAATGTGGGTCAGCGTGGGTCTTTCTGGGGCATTTCAAGCCTTACGTTCAGGGCCAGGAGAAGTCTGATGACTCACTCACCTTGCTCTGCAAGACAAGAATTTGTTGAGCTCGACCCCTCCACGTCCCAGGTGAGGACAGGAGCTGCTGGATGTTCACATCTTCCCCAACCTCATTGGTTAAAACCTGAAAAAGGTGAGGCCTTCGGTATGGCCGGGAGAGAGGGCTCTGCCACAGCCCTAAAGCTGCTGCACGTGCAGAAACAGTGCTGGGTGCGTGGGGCTCCCCGAAGGCCCGGCCTCCACCTGCACAACCTTCCCCCTTCCCCCACTCCCCGCCTCAAAGGCCAATTGACCACGCTCCATGAGCAGCTCTCCCTGGGAAAGCATTGAACCCATCATCCCCAGCACTTCTTGGTGATGCTTAGGGCAGACAAGGAACTGCTGACCATGCCCAGGTGGGGCCCCTTGCCCTTGACACATTCTGGGATGAGTGAACCACAGAGTTGACCAAGACCTGCTCCAAATTTGTTCACCTGTCACCCAGAACGGACATCATTCTGGATGGCTCCAGGGAGGACACGGCCACAGGGCCTCGCCCTCCGTGCAAAGCCATTGACAAGGGGCCATGTCTGAGTGCAGCAAGGAGTGGGGGGCTACCGAATGTCACCTGGGGATGTTTGGTTCCAGAAGGGCCCAGCTTTGTGGCTGTCGCAGAGAGGTGTTCGGGCCCAACTTCGAGGCTTTGAGGTGGAAACAGTATACCCCAGCTTGTGCCCTGGGCCCCTCTGCAGCCTGTCACGGAAACCCATCTAGCGTACCAAGTCTCTGGTGCTTGTTTCCACAATAGAACTCTGTTTTGGAAATCTTGGCTGGTCTGAGTGGTTCCAGCAGGAACCGCTGCTGGTGGTACAAATGCCAGAGAATTCACTATGTAAATAAAAATAAATAATGAACCAGCTGGGCCTGCCTCCCAAGTCCGAGCATTTTCCTTTGAAAGGGGCCTTTAACACACAAACAACCTTAACATTTTCTCATATTATAGACAGCAGAGGGCAGGAGACGGGTCTCGGTAGGCTTCCAAGTCCAAGGTGGCTTATTAAGGAGATGCCCAGGATCTATTGGGGTGCACGTAGCACAGGGAAGGTGGAAGGGCCTCTCCAGGGTGGACAGCACTGTCCTCCTCCATCCAGGGCTGGGCGGGCACCACAAGGGCCTCTATGCAGGGTCATGCAGGCAGCCGGCAACCACCCTCACCTGATGGGTCTGTTTCAAGGGCTGGAAGGAAGTTACTGGATCTGAGCCTGACCCAGAACAAGCAGCGTGATGTTCACGGGGCCCAGCTCCTGAATGGAAGCCATTGTCCCAGCCATGACCTTCCCAGTCCCAGGCCCACCCACGAGGACCCGAACCCTGGCCGGGAAATACCTTCTGGGCCACCCGGAGCTCCTGCTTCACAGCCCGGATCTGGTTGCGGAGGTCGCTCATCTTCAGGTTTGTGGCCGCCAGCCTGTCCTGCAAGACCTTCACCTCTGGGCTGTCCTGCTAGTTGGGAAAGACAGGAGGGAGAGCAGTCATTTGAGGCCTAGATAGTAACAATAATCACAGCCCCCGTTTATCCAGGTGTGTGCAGGTACCACACGAGGTGCTTGACAAGGAGGAACTCATTTCATCCTCACGACCCCTTTGAGGCAGGTTCCGTTACCGATGCAGAGCAGAGGCTGGAGGGGGGTGACCCCTCGGCTTGGGGGACCTGGTAGGTAAGGGGGAGCGTGGATGTGGATCCCGGCAGCCCAGCTTTGGGGGCTGAGCCCTGGGCTCCGAGGGTGGCGCACACGGGTGGACGTGGGTGGTGACCGCAGACAGGGAGCATCTGGATGAAGCCGCTTCCCAACTCCCAGACACTCCCAGGCTGTGGGCCCTGCTGTGCTCAGAGACTGGCATCATAGCAAATCCATCCTCACTCAGGATGAAGAGGGGCGCTGGCTCCTTTAGCGAAGGTGGCCCCAGCTTGGCAGGAGGGCCATGACCATCCCAACTTGGGGCCTTCCTCTCCTAGAATTGTCAGACTGGGCCTTGGGCTCCCTTTCCTGGCAATGAGCTCACTGAACAGAAATAAGGACCCAGTTTAATCCCCAAATGCTCCATTTCTGTGGCTTGAAGAACTGCAGGAACCATGAAAACTCTGCCTGCTGGAACTCTTAGCAAAGTCTTTTTTTAAAACCATATTTCATTTAAACTATTTGGATGAAACTTTTCTCAAATGTGTTCCCCATTTATGACTTAAATAGAAGTTCCTGAAATCCTCAGACCTTTGGCATTAAAGGGACTCCAAGGTCAGCCCATTCAAACCCTTTCCATAGGTGATGCAGATAAGGTCCAGAGAAGGAAAATAACATGGCCTCACAGGCACACAGCTGGTTGGGGTGACAGAAGTGGGATTAGAGGCCTGGTCCTTCCTTTGCACTGGCTGATTCTCCCAATATAAGCTTTTGCTGATGCCAGGGCATCGTGGTGACAGAAACATTGGTTGGTGGGTTGTGTGTCCCATCAGGCAATGACACTAAGACCATCTGCTCCTGTCCCAACAGATCAGGTGGACTAGACTTCTGGGAAACAGGATGGGTACTGCAGTGGCTTTCTGAATCTTCCTTAGTAGCCACAGACAAAACCTCCTGTGAACGCTAGTGTGAAAGATCCTAGAAGACTGGGTCTGGGGAGTTCCATGGACCCCAGAGGCCCTGGGCAGCCCCGCTGAAAACCACTGGTCAAGGAAACTAGACCTGCACACAGGCCCCAGAAGACCTGGACTCATCCGGTCTTCTCATCTAGGAAACGGCTGCTTCTTCACAGCACCCCCAGGAGGCTAAACAGAGTAACCAGTGTGAGCAGAATTTGCAAATTGGGAATTTACATAAAACATACATGCATCTTTCTTTCTATTTTTTTTTTTTTTTTTGCCGTACGCAGGTCTCTCACTGTTGTTGTCTTTCGCGTTGTGGAGCACAGGCTCCGGACGCGCAGGCTCAGCGGCCATAGCTCACGGGCCCAGCCGGTCCGCGGCATGTGGGATCTTCCCCAACCGGGGCACGAACCCGTATCCCCTGCATCGGCAGGCGGACTCTCAACCACTGCACCATCAGGGAAGCCGCATCTTACATCTATATTTTTGCGTATCCTTCCGCCGCCTGGCTGTATGTCATTCCTCTCCACTGCTGTTGGGAGCCTGTCTGCTCCCCTGCTAAGGTGCTGCTTTGAATCTGCCCTGGGTTGGGAAGCAACATTCCCTGCCTGTCAGATCTTCCGTGCCATGAGCCCCCTGCTGGCTCTGGCGGTTGGCGGTGCAGGAGCCGTGAGAGCATTTGGGAGCCTGAGGGCACGGAAGCGCACACCGGCTGGATCCGGATCTGAGACCCAGGCGGCAACGACTGTCTCCGAGCCTCGTTTCCTCTTGTGTGAAATGGAGGCACGTCATGCCAGCCTCCGGGGTACATGTGAGTGTTGATGGGATAACGCACGTAAAGGGTGCCCTCTGGGGCAGATTCTGACGGGGGTCGATGCTGGGGGGCATAGCCTGGCTTGGGTGGGCAGCTGGCAAAGGCGGCTGAGGGCCATATGGTGTTCTGGTGAAGGCATCACCCCCTCTGCGCTGCCAGGCCCCAGACCTCCCCTCCCAGGAAACTGAGCCAACCCTACCTGACATTTCAGAGCTGTTTCTGCCCAGAGTGAGATTTCACAGGCTTTGTGGGTGTCTTGGGCCTGGGCACGCCCCTCCCCCACCCCGGGCTGTTTCCTCTCAGGCGATACCGGAAATGGTGTCCACGGGAGCAGATAGCGCCAAGGCCACTCACACCACAGCTTCGTGAGGCCCCACGCAGAGTGAGGGCGTTCAGCTCCACTCTGGAATGTGCTTGGAGCTCTGGACTGGGTGAGCCTGCAGGCTCCGGAGTATGGCCCAGGCTTGGGTCGCCCTGAACAGTCTAACGAGGGGGACATGGCTATTGTCCTCTCTCTGATCAGAAGATGCCCGGGAAAACACGTGTCCTGAGGAATGGAGACTGCAACCCGCCACGCACTCTTCCGTCAGAAACCTCCCAGGCTCCCTGCAGCCACAGAATGAAGTTGGAATTCCTACTCCAGCTACCGTCAAGGCCTCCATCCACAGGTGACTTTGTTTTGTTTTGATATGTTCCCCTTTTCCTCGTCAGGGCCCCTGGGCTGCAGCCAGATGTTATCCAGCTGATGCCCAGCTAACAAACAGAATAGGAATATTGATGCTTTCCTGCTCTGAGCTTGTACTGCTTCTGCTGGAAGGGCCACCCCCATCTTCCTGCTCCAGCAAGGCCACCTGAGGAAGCCCTCATCCATCCCGCCTCCTGGCTGCCTCAGGTGGAGCGTGTGCTCCCTCTGTGAACTCAGGGCCTAGGGGCTTTCTCTGAAGGCCCTGTCCCCCTCCTTCCTTTAATATGCCTACTCATCTCCCCTCTTGAACCCCCTGTGGACAGTGGGCCTGTCTTTGATTCTCTGTGTTCCAGGGCTCAGAACATTCTGTCAGGCTCAACAAGTGACTGAACAGGTAGTTCCCCATTTAGGACAGCCCCAGTCAGAGGTATGGATAAACAAGGGGCAGCTTAGAAGCGTCCCTCAGAGCTGGGAAAGGCACTGAATGACACTCAGTCTAGCGTCTGCTGAGGGCGGAGCCCCTCCATTGCCTCCCCAGCAATGAGACAGATCTACACAAGACTAGCCTTCAGGAGACATGTTCACCCCTGACCTGGAAGCTGAGGGGCCCATCCCTCGAGGGCAGTATTCTCCTCAAGACGGCTTGATCTTGAGTCATAGACAACAGCGAAGATTGGGTGGAAAAGGGGCACTGAACTAGGAGTCCTGAGGCTTGGATTCCGTTCCACCCACTCATTTGGCTTCTTAAGAAAACCATGGGGGGAATTCCTTGGTGGTCCAGTGGTTAGAACTTGGTGCTCTCACTGCCGAGGCCCCAGGTTCAATCCCTGGTCGGGGAACTAAAATCCCATAAGCCGTGAGGTGTGGCCAAAAAAAAAGAAAAGAAAAGAAGACCAAGGGGAGGCCTCCTGGGATGTTCTTGAGACTCTGAGCTATTTATTGTCTGGCTTGGGCTCCGTGCTCCTCCCCGATGGCCCACTGGTGCCACCTTTCACGGAGCTGCAATTCCCACGCCCTGAGTTTCATGGAGGCTCATTGGCTCAGAAAAACTGGAATCTTGGGAACAGCCCCATTCCCAACAGTCACTTTTACGCTGTAGATTTGGAGTTCCACAAAGGGAAGACTTCTTACAATATGGATTGCCCCAGCAAAAACCAGGGTTCCGTTGAGGAGTGAGCTCCCCGTCCCTGGGTTAAGGTAGAGAGGCTGGATGTCTCTCCAGTAAGGATGCTGTAACGGACATCCTTTACAGCTGGGCTGAGAGCAGGAGGCTAATTGGATCAGGTCTTCCTTCCCTCCTGGTCGTGAAATTCTAGGATTCTGGGTCCTCAGGCCCCTCCTGACCTCCCTCTCTGGGGACTAAATCAGAGTTAACCCCTCACCAGCCTTCACTGGGGCATTCTTGGCCTCAGACAGTAGACTTGGTCACTGTCCCCTGATGGCTATTCTGAGGATGCTGCAATGGTGGCACTGGCTCAGCAATGGGGTGGATGCCGGACAGAGGCACCTACGCCCCCATGGAAGAGGGGAGGCCCAAACCCATGACTGCCTCACACACTCCCCAGCACCGAAGAGAATTCATACCAAGGCTCTGTCTCCCATCTGGGCCTTCAGCAGCTTGGCTCCTGCGTCGGTGGCCCCCTTGGCTGGCAGCCTGGCCAGGGCCATCTGCAGCTGAAAAAGCAAACCTGGCACTTAATATTTAATTCTGCTCAGCAGTTGCGGCGCCTGAGTGAAGGGCTCTGGTGCTGCCGTCGGATGTGTGCTCACGGATCGCAGCAGTCCGTCCCTTCAGCTCATTTTAAGGCCCATGAATGGAAGAACTCTCCTTCACAAGGCACTCTGCGATGGGAGAGGGTTTAACTGATTGTCTGCCCCACTCCCCAGTCGCAGCCTAGGATTCACGAACAGCTTAGTAAATAATGATTCTGCAACCATGGTCTGCATCTAACAACAGCCTTCGGAGGCGGAGAGAAAAGGAACTACGGACTTCACATTACAGTTGAGGAGACAAGGTCAGAGACACTGAGAAACCTGCCACTCAGGCTCACGGCCTGGTGGCCAAGACCACTGCCGTATACAGACAGCCAACCAACCCTTTAAGGGTTTCCCAGTTGTCCTTCACACAAAGACCATCCCTGTCCGACAAGGCTGGGCACGACCCGCCCTCCCACCTCTCTGACCTCATCCTGCTCCAAGCTCGGCCACATTGGTCCCCTTTCAGGCCTTTATTCCTATTCAGGGCCTTTGTACCTGCTGGGTCCTCTGCATGAAGCCCTCTCCCCCACCCCTCCGAGTCTGGCCCCTTCTCATCCTCCAGGGACCCACTGTGCATACTCCCCCCTCTAAGGGGCCCTCGATGCTGGTCTGTCTCCAGGAGGGCAAGGACCAGGACTATTTTGCTCCCCACAGTCGCCCCAGGGCCTGGCCCAGAGCCTGCGATGGTTCTCAAAAAATACGTTATAGAATAAAGAAAGTCTAATTCAATGCCAAGTGTAGTGACTGTGGAGGACTTTGGAGAGCAACAGAACTGGATTTGAAATCCGGCTCCACCACGTGCTGTGTGACTTGAGAAAACCTCTTAACCTCTGCCAGCCTCTGCTCCTCCAGCCACATAAGGAGAAGCTGTGTAGGTTCACTCTAGCTCCTGAGGGACCATGAACCGCTGGGTCTTGTGCCCTCTCTTGACTGGAGGGGTTTGTCATCAGCTGTGGGAAGGTAGGGGCAGCAGAAAGAGGAAGGTGGACAAAAGTGAGACGAACTGGTGGAACGCTCCTGGCTCTAGCTTCAGATTAGCAAGGATCCCTGTCAATTTATTCAACAATGCCTTTCTGGAGCTAACTACCTGCTAGGCACTGTTCTAAGCATTTTACAGTGTTAAGTCATTTAATCCTCAGAAAACCTTGGGGTGAGTGCCGTTATGACTGCCACGTGACAGGTGGAGGAAACTGAGGCACGGAGAGCTTATACCTGGCTCCAAGTCACAACACAAGTCAGTAGTGGAGCTGAGATTCACACCCAGGTGGTCAGGCTCCAGGCTTGCGTCCTCCTTGCTATGTCGGGCTATCTCTCCACCGCCTGCGTCCTCCTTGCTTCCCGACACTCTCCCCTCTCAGGATATGACAGAGACTGAGGGACTCATTGCAAACACTGACCCACCAGTCCTTGGGAAGGACCTACAGCATCTAAGTGTGCTCCCTCTCTGGAGGAGTGGCGCGGGGTACAGGGAGCCCGGGGCAGGGGCGCCTGAGGCCCCTCACCTCTTGCTCCAGCTCCCGGATGCGGTTGCTCAGCTGCCTCGCTCTGGTCTTCGCACCCTCGGACTCTGCCATCAGCACCCGGTTCTTTTTGGACAGCTCAACGATCTTGGTGGCAGTCACATCCCCAACCACACCAGCCGTCCCTAAAATGAAGGGAAATGGTAAGGTCAATTAAAAACACAGGCCACACATCGAACAGCCTTCAGCAGCGATTTGGGCAACAATGAGTAGCTGCCCTCGGCCACCTCGTGTCTGTTGAAGAGGATTAGGACACATCAGGAGAAAAGGAGGAAGAACCTGGGGAAGGAAACCAAACCTAGAAATACAAATGGTCCAGTGGTGAGTTCTCTGGTTATGTTTTCCTCCCAGGACCCCAACGCATTACAAATCCTGGAACTAGACATCAGAAAGAAGTCTACGAGAAGCCCTCTCTAGTCCGAAGGGCAGGAAGTGGGGCTGAGAGCAAGCCAGGGCTCTCTCCCAACTCTGTCTCCAGACAAGCCTCACTCTTGAAGCTGCAACCCCATGATAATGGGGGCATCAGCGAATGGGCAAGCACAGAAATGCTCAAATATCTGGGTAAATATAATAGACTATCTTGCAACCTTCAGTTTTTTAAAACGTATAATGGTTGAAAGCAAATATGATAGCATAGTCTGACAGGATGTTCAACATATACAGACATAATACATATAAAAGCTGTAATATAAGGGGGGAGGGTACAGGGACTTATATGGTGGTCAAGTTCCTTCATTCCACTTGAAGTGGTGAAATATTAATTCTAAGTAGACCATGAAAAGTTATGTGTGTTGTAAGCACTAGCGCAATCACTAAAAAAATTGTACAAAGAAATAGAAAAACTAAGCTAAAGCAAACACTAAAAGTCCACCCAAAGGAAAGCCAGTTCTTCAGCTGTCAGCAGCCTGTCACTGTGGCCTGGTTTAAAAACGTGAACTGAGACTGTCAGACTTTTCTCTTCAAAACGGGAAGTTGGAAATCAGAAATGCGGACTTCTGAGTGAGGACTGGATTTAAGAGGTCTTGAGGGAGGCTCGGGGCCATCAATCGGATGAGGCCATGAGCACGCCAGCAGAAGCGGCAGAAGACAGGATGTGGGGCAGGCTGGAGAAGAGGGAGCAGGCCCTGTCTCCCAGGTCTCCTGGGGTGAGGAGGCATCTCCTGCTCTCCCCAGAGCCCATCAACTTCTCGACACCCTTGCAAAAGCTGCCCCTTCGCATCTGAACCCCGAGCCAGGTTAGGTGTTATCATCTGTTCAGTGTGGTTTTGTTTTAGACAGAAGAGGCCAAAGAATGGAGGGAAGCACAACAGGCTATCAAGGGCCTTTAAGATGCCAGATTCCCTTTGCTTTTCAATTCAGCACTGGTCCTCTGGGTGCGCCTACTCTTAAAGTCATTTCCTAGCAAAGGCAGAGAGAGACGCTCTGGCAGAGGCCAGGTGAGGCATCATGCCCTCTGTGATTGCTGACACTGACTTTGTGCTTTCTCAGTCAGCCACCTGGGAATTGCTCAACGGGCATACATCGAGCAGAGGACAATCAGGGCCAAGGTCCCCACCAGATCTGTAAGAACAAGGTCTAGCTCATAACCACAGGGTCAGTGGTCAATGTCCAGCCCACACCCACAGGGCTAAGGTCATCCCCAGGCCCACAAAGCCAAGATCCCTAACAGACCCACAGGGTCAAGGTCTCCAGCAACAGAACCAAGGTCCAACTCCGACCTGAAGGGCCAAGGTCCACTGTACGTGCTGCTGGATCCCAGGAAATCCTCCCAGAACAGCGAACTCCCCTGTCTTGTCCACCCTTCTGGAGCAGCAACAGCAAGTGGTGTAGAGTAAATGCCTACTTCCACTGGGGCTTTTTCGCGTCCATGATACAGTGTTTGAGCCAGAGCATCCAGATACAATGGGTGCCGTTGGCCCACCGAACGTGTAGCGAGCATCACGGAGAACTCTTGTCATGAGTCCCAACGGGGTCACCCACGCTGCCTCCATGGCAGCTGGGCCAGCCCACCTGGACTTCAGAGCAGAAACTGTCGCAACAGCGGTGGAGCTACCTGTGAAGGCAAATCTGTCCTCTTCTATTTTCTTTTTGAGGTGTTTGATTTCAAAGTCCCTCTCCTTCAGCAACTTATACAATCGCCCGTTCTCATCCACCGTTTCCCTGAGTTGATCCCGAAGCCGTTCGATCTCGTCTTCAAGCATCCTGCAAGGCAAAGGCAGAATCACAGGAACCGATGGGCGGGGGTCAGGCCTCCACAGCCCAGGTTTATTGTACCTGGTTGGGCACTGGGTGGAGATAAGAACTGGTCTGTACAAAATAGTAATGAGAAATTAAGGGAATCTCAGTGAGCAGATTTTTAACACACTGTTCTCAAAACTGAACGATTAAGGACACACACACAAGTGAAAGGAGAAAAGTTTTTTTTTTTTTTAATGTGCCAATTTTTATTTTATTTTATTTTCGCGGTACGCGGGCCTCTCACTGTTGTGGCCTCTCCCGTTGCGGAGCACAGGCTCCGGACGCGCAGGCTCAGCGGCCATGGCTCACGGGCCCAGCCGCTCCGCAGCATGTGGGATCCTCCCGGACCGGGACACAAAGCCGCGTTCCCTGCATCGGCAGGCAGACTCCCAACCACTGCGCCACCAGGGAGGCCCGAGAAGGAAGTTTTCAATAACATGGTTTACTACGGATTCAACAGAGCTATATAAAACCCCACCCAGAGAATTCATACTCCTTTCCAGCATCCATGGAACATGCATAAAGATGTATTATAATTTAGGCTTCAAAGGCAACCTTAGCAAATTCCAAATAATGGACATTATACAGACCATTTTCTTAATGGGAATTGACTAAAATTAGAAATCAATACTAAACAGAGAACAAAAATAAAATAAAACACAGAACTCCAAACCCATCATATGCTTGGAACTGGAAAAAAAAAAACCACACACATACACGCACTCCTAAATTATTTATGGGTTAAGAAGAAATCATAATGTGTATTATGAAGCATTTAGAACGGATTGACTGTAGAAGCAATATGTATGAAAACTTGGGAACAGCAGCTAAAGTGATACTTAGAAGGAAATTTATAGCCTTAATTGCATATGTATATTAGAAGACGAAAGAGGAATTGTCTAAGCCTTAAGTTGAGACCAGGTCTCTGGGTCTCTCAGGTAAACCCAATAGGAGATCACAATAGGTGGCTAGTTTTGTATATTACAATTGTCTTGCAAGTCATTTTTTTAGAACTTTAAAACATGAGGAACATGTGACTGGTGGGTCTGTGATCACTTCTACCATTAGGCATGGAGCCAGCTCCATAGAGGCAGTTGCTCAGGTAGTAAATAAGTTACGGAAATTATAGATAACAGTAATTATTATTAGCTATTATTATTGTTGGTGTTATTCTACCAACAGCTCAAGTCTCCACAAATTCCAGTTTCTCTGACTTGGGGAAAGATCATTTGGGAATAGGTCTGGGGTTGACTTAGAGCTAATATTTAGGAGCCGTATGAATTTTTTCAATTATTGAGAAATCTTTATCTTTTCCTAATTAGCATTTTTCAGTAGAACATTGTGAAAATTGAGAAACCATGAAAAGTAGAATTTGCAGATGGAGAACATTGTGAAAATCGAGAAACCATGAAAAGTAGAATTTGCAGATAGATTCTGGGTGAAACCAGAAGCAAAGAGATAGCTCAACAACTGCTGTGATTTTTTTTTTTTTTTTTGCAAAATGACTAGAAAACAATTTTGTTTCAATCCAGACTCCTGCTTCTAACAACCAATATAAATCAATGCATCTGTGTGACATTGGCAAATTTAAAGCAAAATGAGAAGATTCTGGACTCCTTTCAACTGTTTCACCAACCATATAAAAGCAAGGAATCCATAAACTGCTTCTTTAGGACGGGTATGTTTATGTGTCTTTATGTGTCAGGGAAGGGAAATTGACACAGGAGAACAGTCACCGATGAGGTTTGGAGTAGTGATCACCTGTGAATCATCAGAGCCAGCCAACCAGCTCCTCAAAAACCAAAACACATTTTTCACAAAAGAGAGACTACGTAAGAAAATTCAAGTGAATAAACTACACCTTGATGAGTTTCAAAATTTCCATTTGACTTTAAGTGGTTTTTGAATACACTTCATGTCAAATTATGTCCCTTTATCTGATGCAAGAGTCTTCAATAACAATCTCTGTGTCAAAACTTCTGGGTCTCAGCTGATAAACACACATCTGGTCAACCTGCCTGTCGAACTGTCTGCAATCATTCTCCCCCACCTTCCCTACCTCCCTGCAGTGCTCCTGGGAGAGTCCAAACTTGCATTTACCTCTGCTGAAAGCTGGTTTTTGAGTTCTGCTCCCCGGCTTGGAGGACGCTGAGGCCATCAGAGATCTCCACAGGCTCTTTTTGGTCATCAGCTCTGCTTTGGAAGCTAAGTTCTTTTTCCTTCCGTTTCTCCATCTGCTTCTGTAACCTTCTGTGCTGCATCTCCTGCATGGCCCTGAACTGGAGCCTCAAGGTGTCCTGTGAGCCTTCATCCTCTGCCATCTTGCCCTTGGAGTAGGAAAAGAAGCCTGAGCCTAAGCAAACTCCACAAACTGCTCCTTTCCCAAGAGTGCTCAGCACATAGTCAGCTCTGTCTACAACCCCCAAGCCTGGAGTTGGCTCCTTATCTTTGCATGTGTCCATGAGGAAGCTTGGAAGACCCACCCTCACTTCAGGTCCCCTGAAAGCCAAAGCTGAGCCGAGCTAAGCGTCAGCTCTCTACACACCCTCCCATGCCTGAATGTGCCACCAGACCTCGAATGGCATCAGAATACTCCCCCCATCACTCAGATTCAACAGTTGACTCCTTCCTGTCCCTAAAAACAGTGGCTCTCAACTCTGGCTGACCATTAGAATCTTCTAGGAGTTCCTAAAATATAGCAATGCTGGGGCACATCCCTGGACCATTTAAAATCTTAATTCCTAGGAATGGGACTCAGACATCATTACTGTTTTTAACTAAGGTATAATTTTAGGTTGAATTATAATTTACACATAGTAAAGTGCATAAGTCCTGAGTGTACAGCTCAATAAATCTTTACACAGGTATGCAGCCCTGGCTCCGGCCAGGGCCCCGGTGGCTGCCGGCTCCCCCAGCTCCAGCCCGGGCCCTTCTGTACTTTTCCCCCCCCGCACTTACAGTGGTCACTCCGCTGCTGCTTTCTTGGGCTGCAGCAGCTCGGGCACCTCTATCAGACGCCTTCTTGCGCTGCCCCGGCAACCGTCACCAGGGAAACCAGCCACGCCGCTGCGTGACGTCTTCACGAGTCTACGGCAACCAAGAGGTCGCCGGGAGTTCGGAAAGGGACAGAGGCGCAGATGGTCTGGGTTGAGGCGGTAAGTAAATAGGCGAGGTGGGCTGACGGATGAGGGCGTCTTGTGTATGAGACTTGAAAATTGGCCCAGTGGTCCGCTTCTGGAACATATTTTAAAAGTTTTGTGGGCCAAACGTTCTGCGCAGAGATACGCATCCCGCAGTCCTGCTGGGAGGAATTAAGGTGAATGATCCTACCAAGAAATTTAACGTAGCCATTCAGAATGTCTTTGGAAAATGTGGAAGTGTGAGGGGAAAGGTTATTTTGTGACGGTGAGTGAAAAAGGCAGGACACGAAATAGTAATTGCTAAGTAAATGAAGTTGTGTTTTTAAAAACTAAGAACGGAGGGAATTCCCTGGCGGTTCAATGGTTAAGGCTCCGCGCTTCCACTGCAGGGCACGAGTTCGATCCCCAGTCGGGGAACTAAGATCCCGCATGCCCTGCATGGCGCGACCCAAACAAACAAAAAACAAAATTAAAAACCTCTAGAAACAGAAACAAGACTGTGGAGGAATGCATAGAAATATTAAAGTTAAAAATGGTTGTATTCGTGTGCTGGAATTGCAGTGCTGTGTTTTTATTTTTGCATTTTAGAGGATTTAAAATATAGTGAACATGGTTTATTTTCGAAGTGGAAAACACTTGTATGTTTGGGTCTTTTAAAAAGACACTTACCCATTTAAGTCACTGCTATATCCAGGTCTTTATAATTAGAAAGTCTTCAGATATCTCACGGTTGTTTTTCTTTCTTTTTTTCCTCATAAGGCATCCACCCACAGACGTGCATGAAGGTGGGGCACCAGTTCACATTTTGCAGAACTCTAATGCAATATCACAACCAGAATATTGACGTTGGTAACTTTACTTGTTTTCATTTGTGTGTGTGTTTAGTTCTATAGAGTTTTATCATGCTTAGGCTTGCGTATTCACCACCATCCTCAGATATTGAGCACTTAAATCGCCACAAGGATTCTCCTTCTTGGGCTTCTGTAGCCACACCCACTTCCCTCCCTCCCCACCCCCAAAGGCCCTAATCCCTGTGACCACCAATCTGTTCTCCATTTCTAAAATGTTGTCATGTCAGAAATGTTATATAAATGGAATCATATAATACGTAACCTTTGGGGACTGACTTTTTTACTCAGAATAATTTTCCAGAGCTTCATCCAAGTTGTTGTATGTGTCAGTTTGTCCCTTTTTATTGCTGAGTAGATTTCTATGGTATGGATGTACCACAAATTGTTTAACCATTTGCCGGTCAAAGGACATCAGGGCTGTTTCTAGTTTGGGGTTATTACAGATGAAGCTGATATAAACATTCATGTACAGGATTTTGTGGGAACTTAACTTTTCATTTTTCTGGGATAGATGCCCAAGAGTCCAGCTGTATGATAATAACATGCTTAGCTTTGTAAGAAACCGTCAACCTATTTTGTAGAGTGGCTGTACGATTTTACATTTCTACCAGCAGTGTATGAGTTATCTACTTTCTCCATATCTTTGCCAGTGTTTGATGTCACTATTTTTTATTTTAGCCATTCTAATAGGTGTGTAGTGACTTCTAATTGTGGTTATAATGTGCGTGATGGATAATGGTATTGAACATTTTTTTCAGGTGCTTATTTGCAATCTATATATCCTCTTTGCTGCAGTGTCTGTTTATGTCTTTTGCCCAATTTCTAACTGTTGACTTTTGAGAATTCTTTATACATTCTAGATATTAATCGTTTGTTGGATTGTAGTTTGCAAATATTTTCTCCCATTCTGTAGCTTGCCTTTTCTCTTCACATGGGTTTTCACAGAACAAAAATGTTAAATTTTGACTAGGTCCAATTTACCAATTTCTTTCTTTCGGTGTCAAGTGTGAGAACTCCTTGCCTAGCCCTCGATCCCAAAGATTTCCCCCTGTGATATTCTAAAAGCATTAGAGTTTTATGTTCATGATTTATTTTGGCATAATTTTTATGTAAGATGTGAGGTTTAGATTGAGATTCTTTTTTTTTTTTTGACCTATGGCTGTCCAATTGCTTCAGCAGTAGTTATTGAAAGGTATCCTTCCTCAACTGAATTGCTTTTGAATGTTTGTCAAAAATCAGTTGTGTAAATTCAGAAACAGCAACAAAAAACAACCCAATTCAAAAATGGGCAAAGGACTTGAAGAGATTCCTCCAAAGAAGATATACATATAGCTAATAAGCACATGTAAAGAGGCTCAACATTACTAGCCATTAAGGAAATGCAAATCAAAGCCACAGTGGGATAACACTCCATACCCATTAGGATGGCTGTTATTAAAAAAATGGAAAATAAAAAGTGTTGTCCAAGATGTAGAAAAATTGGAACCCTTATGCATTGCTGGTGAGAGTGTAAAATGGTGCAGCTGCTGTAGAAAAGTTTGGCAGTTCCTCAAAAATTTAAACATAGAGTACGATCCAGAAATTCACTTCTGAGTATATTCCCAAAATATGGAAGCAAACAGATACTTGTACACCAATGTCCATAGTAGCACTATTTACAATAGCCAAAAGGTGGAAACAATCCAAATGTCCATCTGTAGATGAATGGATAAACAAAATGTGGTATTATCCATTAAATGGAATATTATTCAGCCATAAAAAGGAATGAAGTACCGATACATGCTACAACATGGATGAACCTTGAAAACATTATGCCAAGTGAAATAAGCCAGACACAAGAGGACAACTATTGTATGATTCCACTTATATTAGGTTCCTAGAATAGAGATTGCCAGGGAGCAGGAGAAGAGGGAAATGGGTAGTTATTATTAAAGACTATGAAGTTTCTGTTTGGAATGATGAAAAGGTTCTAGAGGCAGATGATGGTAATGGTTGCATAGCATTTTTGGGTTTTTTTGTTGTTTTTTGGGGTTTTTTTTTGCGGTACGTGGGCCTCTCACTGTTGTGGCCTCTCCCGTTGTGGAGCACAGGCTCCAGACGCGCAGGCTCAGCAGCCATGGCTCACGGGCCCAGCCGCTCCATGGCATGTGGGATCTTCCTGGACCGGGGCACGAGCCCGTGTCCCCTGCGTCGTCAGGCTGACTCTCAACCACTGCGCCAACACGGAAGCCCTAGTTTTAGATTTTTAAGGAACCTCCATACTGTTCTCCATAGTGACTGTATCAATTTACATTCCTGCCAACAGTGTATGAGGGTTCCCTTTTCTCCACACCCTCTCCAGCATTTATTGTTTGAAGATTTTTTGATGATGGCCATTCTGACCGGTGTGAGATGATATCGCACTGTAGTTTGATTTGCATTTCTCTAATGATTAATGATGTTGACCAACCTTTCATGTGTTTGTGGCAATCTGTATATCTTCTTCGGAGAAATGGTTAAGTTTTCTGCCCATTTTTGGATTGGGTTGTTTGTTTTTTTGATATTGAGCTGCATGAGCTGCTGGTAAATTTTGGAGATTAATCCTTTGTCAGTTGCTTCATTTGCAAATATTTTCTCCCATTCTGACGGTTGTCTTTTCATCTTGTTTATGGTTTCCATTGCTGTGCAAAAGCTTTTAAGTTTCATTAGGTCCCATTTGTTTATTTTTGTTTTTATTTCCATTTCTCTAGGAGGTGGGTCAAAAAGGATCTTGCTGTGATTTATGTCATAGAGAGTTCTGCCTATGTTTTCCTCTGAGAGTTTTATAGTGTCTGGCCTTACATTTAGGTCTTTAATCCATTTTGAGTTTATTTTTGTGTATGGTGTTATGGAGTGTTCTAATTTCATTCTTTTACATGTAGCTGTCCAGTTTTCCCAGCACTACTTATTGAAGAGTCTCTCTTTTCTCCATTGTATATTCTTGCCTCCTTTATCAAAGATAAGGTGACGATATGGGCGTGCATTTATTTCTGGGCTTTCTATCCTGTTCCATTGATCTATGTTTCCGTTTTTGTGCCAGTACCATATTGTCTTGATTACTGTAGCTTTGTAGTATAGTCTGAAGTCCAGGAGCCTGATTCCCCCAGCTCCGTTTTTCTTTCTCAAGATTGCTTTGGCTATTCAGGGTTTTTGTGTTTGCACACAAATTGTGAAATTTTTGTTCTAGTTCTGTGAAAAATCCCAGTGGTAGTTTGATAGGGATTGCATTGAATCTGTAGATTGCTTTGGTTAGTATAGTCATTTTCACAATGTTTATTCTTCCAATCCAAGAACATGGTATATCTCTCCATCTATTTGTCTCATCTTTAATTTCTTTCATTAGTGTCTTATAATTCTCTGCATACAGGTCTTTTGTCTCCTTAGGTAGGTTTATTCCTAGGTATTTTATTCTTTTTGTTGCAATGGTAAATGGGAGTGTTTTCTTAATTTCACTTTCAGATTTTTCATCATTAGTGTATAGGAATGCAAGAGACTTCTGTGCATTAATTTTGTATCCGGCTACTTTACCAAATTCATTGATTAGCTCTAGTCGTTTTCTGGTAGCATGTCATCTGCAAACAGTGACAGCTATACTTATTCTTTTCCGATTTGGATTCCTTTTATTTCTTTTTCTTCTCTGATTTCTGTGGCTAAAACTTCCAAAACGATGTTGAATAAGAGTGGTGAGAGTGCACAACCTTGTCTTGTTCCTGATCTTAGTGGAAATGGTTTCAGTTTTTCACCATTGAGGACGATGTTGGCTGTGGGTTTGTCATATATGGCCTTTATTATGTTGAGGTAAGTTCCCTCTATGCCTACTTACTGGAGGGTTTTTATCATAAATGGGTGCTGAATTTTGTCAAAAGCTTTCTCCGCATCTATTGAGTTGATCATATGGTCTTTCTCCTTCAATTTGTTAATATGGTGTATCACATTGATTGACTTGCGTATATTGAAGAATCCTTGCATTCCTGGGATAAACCCCACTTGATCATGGTGTATGATCCTTTTAATGTGCTGTTGGATTCTGTTTGCTAGTATTTTGTTGAGGATTTTTACATCTATGTTCATCAGTGATATTGGTCTATAGTTTTCTTTTTTTGTGACATCTTTGTCTGGTTTTGGTATTAGGGTGATGGTGGCCTCGTAGAATGAATTTGGAAGTGTTCCTCCCTCTGCTGTATTTTGGAAGAGTTTGAGAAGGATAGGTGTTATCTCTTCTCTAAATGTTGATAGAATTCGCCTGTGAAGCCATCTGGTCCTGGGCTTTGGTTTGTTGGAAGATTTTTAATCACAGTTCCAATTTCAGTGCTTGTGATTGGTCTGTTCATATTTTCTATTTCTTCCTGATTCAGTCTTGGCAGGTTGTACATTTCTAAGAATTTGTCCATTTCTTCCAGGTTGTCCATTTTATTGGCATAGAGCTGCTTGTAGTAATGTCGATGAACTTTTGTATTTCTGCAGTGTCAGTTGTTACTTCCCCTTTTTCATTTCTAATTCTATTGATTTGAGTCTTCTCCCTTTTTTTCTTGATGAGTCTGTCTAATGGTTTATCTTTTCAAAGAACCAGCTTTTAGTTTTACTGATCTTTGCTATCGTTTCCTTCATTTCTTTTTCATTTATTTCTGATCTGATCTTTATGATTTCTTTCCTTCAGCTAACTTTGGGGTTTTTTTGTTCTTCTTTCTCTAATTGCTTTAGGTGTAAGGTTAGGTTGTTTATTTGAGATGTTTATTGTTTCTTAAGGTAGGATTGTATTGCTATAAACTTCCTTCTTAGAACTGCTTTTGCTGCATCACATAGGTTTTAGGTTGTCGTGTTTTCATTGTCATTTGTTCCTAGGTATTTTTTGATTTCCTCTTTGATTTCTTCAGTGATCACTTTGTTATTAAGTAGTGTATTGTTTAGCCTCCATGTGTTTGTATTTTTTTACTGATCTTTTCCTGTAATTGATATCTAGTCTCATAGCATTGTGGTCAGAAAAGATACTTGATACAATTTCAATTTTCTTAAATTTACAAAGGCTTGATTTGTGACCCAAGATAGGATCTATCCTGGAGAACGTTCCATGAGCACTTGAGAAAAATTTGTATTCTGTTGTTTTTGGATGGCATATCCTATAAATATCAATTAAGTCCATCTTGTTTAATGTATCATTTAAAGCTTGTGTTTCCTTATTTAATTTCATTTTGGATG